TCATCAGACTTAGGTTCTTCGCCTTCGCCTGTGGCACTCGTCGAGCACGATGACCCCATCGAAATCGGTGCCCAGCCAGTTGATCAGCTGACGCAGACGCGTATTGTACTTGGGATTGGCATTCGCAGACTCGCCAATGAGCGCCGTGTACGTGCAGAAGATGACGCCGCGCTTGAAGTACTCGTTCTCCTCGGAGCTGATACGGCTGTACTTGAACTTGCTCATCGAGGCCACCTTGAGGTGCTTGCTGGCGCCTATGTCTAGCAGATCGCGCTCCGCATCGAACTTCAAGTCGTTGGATACGGATATCCACAGGGCACGCTTGCGACCACGCAGATAGTTCTCGAAGATGATGGCCGCCACGGTGCGGCCTTTGCCGACACCGGCGCCATCGCCAAGCAGGAAGCCGGCACGCTGGCCGCTAGGCAGCAGCTGCTCGTGCGCCTGGCAGGCATAGGTGACCGCCTCCAGCTGCAGAGCACTAAGGCGATCCGAGTTCTTCACCTTGTCCGGCAGCGCCAGCTCGTACGTGATGTCCGGCAGCTCGACGGAGGAGAGGGTGGCCGTTTCGACGACCGGATCGGGATGCCGGCTGCCGCCCTTCAGCTTGCTTGGCCAGTACGAGGAGTAGGTATCGGCCACACCGATCTCCTCGAAGTCCACCTCGTCATCCTCGAGCGGTGCTGGCATTTGCGGCAGCTCCCGTCGTACCAGCACGCCCTGCGGCCGCAACATCGGATTGTTCAGGTCGGGTTTCAGGGGCAGCTTCATTTGGCACAGCGTCGGCCTCGGCAGCTGGTTGGGCAGGACGCCACGCATCTGCGTCTGGCCGTCACAAAGCTGCTCTTCGACTTGATGAAGTCGGTCAGGGTCTTGGGAAAGGCGCCCTGGTTCTGGTTCTGGCTCGGCTGAGTCCCAGCTGGCATAAACATCCTGCCGCCCTGCGTGCTCCGGTATCGATCCTGCGTGCTCGTCACCATCATCTTGTACGGATGCTGGCCCAGATGCGATGCGATTCGAACCTGCGATTGTTGCATCTTTAGTTGCATGGTGCATAGTCGTGGTGGGCATTAGCTTAACTGTGCCGGCCGGTGCCTCGGGCGGAATTTGGATCGAGAACTTGGATGCCTCCTGCACGGTGCGCGCCTTGTAGAACACTCGCGCCGGCGGCGTTCCCTGCTGCTGCTGCTGCTGCAGATGCTGTTGGGGGGGCAGGAGTTGGGGTTGCGGCCTGTACGGCAGGGTGGGCGGCAGCTGGGGCGTGTCACGGGCTCCGTTTCGGGCTCCGGCTCCACCATGGGCAGCGAGTCGAGCTCCTCCTGCAGCCTGGCATCGATTTGTGCATCGTCCTCAGCCGCCGGAGTGGCAGCTGGCTCTTTGACCGCATCCGAGCCATCCCCAGTTCCGTTGCCGATGCAAGAAACTAGCTCAGGAGAAACGGACAGCAGCTGCTGCTGCTTGCTGCTGCTGCTGCTGCTCCTGAGGCCCTGGCGGAACTAGTTCGCTGTGGTTCGCATTGAACAGCAGCTCGCCGCGAGCCGTGCCCAAGGAATTCATTTATGGTACCAGAGTCGGATCTAGTTCTCGATATGGCAAGAAACTAAAACAACAACAGGAACAATATTTCTGAGAACTAAACGCCCTAACGAGATGTTTAATATGTAATTATTAATTTATTAATTATAATAAGTACAAGAGTTTTATATTCACAAGAACTTAACCTTTTTAACGATTCGAATGGGAATTATCTAGGCATTAAGTATTTATTTCTATTATTCCCCAAAGATCTTTTCTATTTTACCTTTAAGTTTTCTTAAGTTTCCATCAAAGTTTATTTATTCTTAACCCTTTTAAGTTCTTTCACAAATTCTCTTTCTTTTGAACACTTTATTTTTCACTTTTTCCACCAACTCCACAATTCCATCTGCTTGCTTTGAATAACTCTCAGTTACTGAGACTTTAGCTCCTTCTTGCAATTCGACATAAGTTTGCTTAATGACAGATTCTTACAAAAAGTGTTGATTAATTTCGATAGGCTTTAATGAAAGTGTTGACTAATGTAAATGCTAATGGTAAGTATCGATAGTTATTAAGTTTTTAAAGCTTAAAGTAGCAGATATTTCGATAATGCGACCATTTGCCTTGCATGTTTGTGTGCATGTATGTATTTATGTGTGTGGGCTTGCATGTATTACTAAATGAATGTATTTAAGTTATGTAATGTAAGCATATATGTATGTAATGTATGTAAACATGCATGCATGTGTGAATGCATGTATGTGTGTACGCATGTACGCATGTGAGCATATATGCATGCATCCATGTACATATGTATGCATATGTGCATACATGCATGCTGGTATGCATATACGGGTGCGTGCATATATGCGTGCATGCATGAATACATGTATGCATGTGCGCATCTATGTGGATATCTACGTATGTATGCCTAATCAATAATGAATAATTATGTATGTGTGCATGTATGTTTTTATGCGTGTTATATGTATGTATGTAACATGTATGACATTGTATATATGGTACGTTATGCATGCATGTTATATGCATCCATGCATGTTTGTATAACTGTATGTATTATTTGCGCATGTATGTACGTATGTAGTATGCATATATCTGTCCGTATATATCTACTTATAGGTATGTATGCACAATATGTAGTTGTATGTTATTATATATTTAAAATGTTTAACTTTCCACATCTGCTGCAACTGAATTAGAATCGTATTGTAGTAGCGCTCTTCTTCTGATTCTCATAAGTACAATTAAGGCTTTAAGGCATATTTTCTTTCAACACGTATTTCACACTCTATTCTAACATACCATTCATTTATCGCGTTTTCCCTTTTTCTCTCTCATTTTTATATGTTTCATTTTCTTGCTATAATTTAAACAGCTTTTTTTCTCTCTCTTGTTATTTTCAGTTATGTGCATGTATGAAATTCTATCAATTAAATAATGGGGCGCATGTGAAATTAAAGGTAAGTAGATATTTTTATATTAACATACATCTATAGATATAAGAATATATTTAAATGCAGTTGAAATGTGATAACGAATAAGCACGTAGTTGCATATATAATAATACGGCACACCTAGGACTCAGACATAGTAACATATGCCTGGAATGTCTATTTGTGGGGGATTTAGTTTCAATAGGAGCGTTCGGTTGTTGCCATGGTTATTGGCTTCCATGGCAAGATATCATCCCAAATTTGTTGTATTGTATAGGTGCGCTTTGTTCAAATGCAATTAGAGTCGCAATATGAGCAATGACAAGGCCAGCAGATCCTCAAGGACAGGGCCCGTCAGTGGCAAATGGCGGCATCCACTCGACGTGCGGAAGATGCCAGACGAGCCGGAGTCAGCTCCAACAGTGTGGACTACACGGAGTACACGCACAGGCGCTCGAAGAGAGCATCAAAGCGGAAGTCATCGACTATCCGAAAGAGGAGCACATCTCTCGTGGAAGAGCCGCAGTTAACCACGCACGAAGCCGCTGTCCCCAAGAGGTCGCAGCCAAAGCATGACAGCCACACGGATCAGCAGTCCGATCAGGGCGCAGAGATCTGCTTCCATGAGCCAATTCGTGTTCGTTCAATTCCACAAAAGATTCGGTCTAAGGGCGCACCAATTTTAACTTGTGGTTAGGCAAATTTTATCAGATAATCATTCGGTTTTAATATGTTCAGTTAATCGGCATCTGCATCTTCAGCATATTGTATGGACATCAAAAACACAACTATTTCTTAGCAAGAAAATGACAAACTACTTAAATTGCAATAACTTTGGGCTTAACACAGTCTTCATCTGTAAATTCTATCTAAATATAACATAAAATAGTGATTGTTGTGTCTGATTGGATGACCAAAAGGTGACCTAACGCAAAGAAAGAAGAAAAGAAATCCTTTCTATAGTTTTCTTTGGAGTCGAAGATCGCACCAAAACGGGGCTTGGATAATTTAAGGCTCTAGAGGGGGAATGATGGTCGAAATTGTATGACATCATGAGCCTGTTTGTCTAAGCGTCGAACTAGCAAGCGAGAGGTCGCCGGTTCAACTCTAGCTGCAATTGTCTGTTTCAAAGTGAGCTTGAATGCCTTCTTCAAAGAGAAAAGCTATTAAAATAAATGAAAAGAGTGCTTTAATCGGGAGTATCCGACTAGGGGATACTCTGAACTATCCTCTTCCATGACAGACAGACGGCCAGATCGACTCGGCCATTCTTGCTGAGCTTTCTTTCTGTTTGTTACGCGTTACGATTTGGATTACAGGGTATGGCCTTAACCAGGTTAAACTGTCTCAAAAAAACAACTAAGTCTTTGTTTGTCATATCAAATTCCCTCGCAGCAGTTTTTTTACTGACTGAAATCATGTGAAAGTAAAAAAAAAAAAAGAGAAAATCCTAAAATTTTGCGTATGTGTCGTGAAATATGGTCCCAGCTAAATTGTGAGTGTACGTTCCGAGTGCAAAGCCAAAATGAGCCTGTCAAAGAAAGATAAAATTCCAGTAGTGGAGCACCCGAGACGCCACAAATCGATCCATGCGGAGAGCAGTGAGCAGAGCATCCGGGAACTGGTCCAAACCTGGCGTCGGCTGTCTGCCGAGCGGCGTGCCGCCAAGGCCATGAGCAAGCCCTCCAGCCTGTTCGAGCTGAACAAACTGAGGCGGACCCACCAGACCTCGGTGATGCATATGAGAAGGAGATCCTCTCTCAAGGGCAAGCAGAGCATGCATAGAGTTTCGGTTGGATCGGAAAAGTCGGCCAACGTCAAGGTCATCAACTACAAGGAGTCGCCCAGGACCAGCAATGTCACCCGCATCTCGATGGACGAGGGCACCAACCTGTGCTACCATGAGCCAATCAAATATCCATTGCCAGCACAACCAAAGACTGGAGTCAAATGATCCGAAACCAACGAAAATCAATCAAACACTATCTAGTTTGTGTTCGCAAAAAAAAAGAAGGAATTTGTTTGCAAAAAAAAAAATATACTAGGGCTGAATACACTTGAAAACAATTGACAGTGAAGGATCTTGAGAAAAAAAAAAAAATAAATAAACTAACATACTAAAAGCCCAATGGAAATATAGTATATAGTATATAGTTGTCCGATTTCGATGAGATTCTGATGACTATAATGAAGCTCTCAATTTCTGAGTCTGGTCAAAGAAACTAAACAAATTTTCAATCCTTTCTTCAGACCCTTATGCTAAATGTTGGATATAGAACGCGTTGCACATGCCGTTATAAAATGCTGCCACCCTCTGCTTGGGTTATGTTAAAGAAACCTCAATATGTAATCCAATAATTGGTAATACGCATTATTCACACCCTGCAATTTGTGAGCCTCCCATCAGAGTTCCATCAGAGTTCATAAATAATCTATGAACTGGCTCTCAAAAATTACTCGCAACCTCCCCACAGGGTAAAAAGGGGCAGCATTTTATGCGGATTTTGCCTGTTTTTCTTTGCTGCGATTTTAAAGCGATTTTTCTCTTATCGAATTGTATCTTAACTAGCAGTTAGTCGCCTGGCTGTCAATTTAAACTGTGCTTCTTATTTTTTGTCCTGCGCCTTATCGAGTCGCCACGTCTGTTGACGATGATGGATTTGTGCGAAATGAAACGCGCTCCCGGCCAACGGGCACCCACATCCGTGTACTGTGTGTGTGTGTTTCGTGTGTTGATGTGTTGGGGCCTCAATTTGCCTTGACTTGATGTATATAGGCAATTCGCTGCAACCAATCAGCATTCGGGCTTGTACATAAAGCCAGTTTCCCCTGCAGCAAGCAGGACACTGCTGCTGTCTCGCTCTAACGCAGCGAAAATGCCGCTTGAAGAAAGCTGGTTGTGCGGCTCTAACGCATTGAGCTGTCTGTTGCTATCTCTGTTTAGCGTGGCGCATTGCGCTGTTAGCCGGGACACAAACCACTGTTGAGCGGCTGTTAAAACATATTGAAATCAAAAAACTATGAGAATTCGAATATTTGAAGAATTTCTAGATCAAATATAACAATAAATATAAATAAATATTTCTTTATTTTATTTTTACATATTATATGTAAATATGAAGTAAAGCTTTTATTTCTTTTCTCTCTATCCATCTATCTATATCTTCATCCTTTATCTCTGCAAGATTTTTGTATTCAATCAATTGTAGACAGCTGCCACTTGAATAAATTTCTATTGTCAGTTATTCACTGGACAAACCCTTTAAAAAATAATGCAAATTAAAAGCGCGCTCGAATTGGCTGTTTAACATACAGTTAAATGTTGTCATGTGCACAAAGCGCCTGATAAAGTGCAAAATATATATAAAAACCTATTTCGCGGCGCATGTCAGATTAGTAATAAATGTAATATCCGCTAATAAATTAAACATTTCGAATCCGAGCTGTTAAAATTCTCACATGACATTTGAACATTAATCATAAAGTCAAATAGTTGAAGAGCTCTTTACTAGGTTATATCTCCGTGGAATAGTAAAAGATATATATGTGTTTACATATAATCTAATTCTAGCTCGTTGCGACTTC